GGGGGGGGGGGGGCGTCAAGCTTTAGACCAAAACTCCAAACCTTGTCGAACCCCAAAGCTTGCACACAAACCGAATCCAAACGCCTACAACCTTGCCCTAACCCTCCAAGTACCTTCAAACACCCTACAACCTTGAGCCCAATATTAACTTTTGAACACGTATAGAAACCCTAAACCCTAAACCCTAATACCCCAAACCCTAAACCCTAATACTCTGAACCCTAAAGCTTAAACCCTAATGCCCTAAAGCCTGATACCCTAAACCCTAAACCCAAACCCCTAAACCCTAAAGCCATGAGAGCCAGAAGGCCACTCTGAGCCCTTACCCTGACTTGTGGTCCGATATAACATCGGCGCGAACCTCTCCCAAAACGGGTTTAGGAAGTTTAGGGTTTAGGGGGTTTAGGGGTTTAGGAAGTTTAGGCTTTAGGGGTTAGGGTATAGGGTTTAGGGAACCTTCGAATGTCCAAATACCCCGACGAACCAGAACTGCAACCTTCCAGAATCCCGATGAAAATCGGACCCTAAACCAAAAAAACCCCAATGTAGGGGCCTTAGTAATTAGAATGAGGATTTATGGGGTCTACTTGGAGGCCCAGGGGGCTTAGTAAGTAGGTTATAAGTAGAGTTATAATTGGGGTAACTCCATTTAGGGTACTTATAGCTCTACTTATAACCTACTTACAGTCCCCTGGGCCTCCAAGTATTCTACTATAAGTATAACAAGGAACCACCCAAAATAGTATCGGTAGTTATGTAGGCCCCCTACATTAAACCGGCTGTAGAGCTTCTTATGGTGCTCAAGCTTGAGAAAATCAACCCCTAAGCTGTACCTGGACCCCCAAAAAGAACCCACCATTTTAGGGCTCCTTGTTATGATTTCTTTATAAAAGTCCTTCCAAAAAAAGGTAGGTGTAAGCCTTACACCTGAACGACCCAAACCACCCAAGACAAAATCGTCGGTGGCGCCTGGAAGTACTCCTTGGAGAGTCCTGAGCTTCGTATACCGAAGACAGGCTCATGTTGGATTGCAACATGCACAAGTAAAGCATCTCTGTCCAGACATACTTTTCCGCACAACCCTTCCCCAAAGCAACATCGGTCACAAGTTATGCAGAAAACCAAGACACAGTCGCCATCATCACTGACATGGCTGGTGTCATACCGGAGTCAAGGTGGGCAGGCTGGAGCTGCTCTAGCTGTAGCATCTGCAGGTTCAGGGAATATATGGGTAGTTTGTCACTAGTAGTTGTCTAAATTAGGGCCCCTTTTAGGGTCCTTATTATAAGGGTGCCGTACTATAATGGGGACCTCAAAAAGGACCCTAATTTAGAGAACTACACATATTCTTCTTCTGACCTCCCAAACCACCGAGTATAGATGCGGTCGGGTCGCCGTAGTTCTGCCCGAGGATGTCCTCAGCATGATGATGGAAGGTTTGGGTTCGTCGTCGTTGCGGTCTTGGCTTTCGACCCTGTCACCATGGCCACCACCATCGTAAAAGTAACCACCATCCATGTCTGTCATCGTCATCGTCGTCGTCATCGTCGTCATCGTCATCATCAAAGCCATCACAATCCCCAGCTTAACATGCATATTCATCTTCATTGTCGCCATCACCACCTCGGTTCTTCTAGTCTGCATCAGTCATCGCGATGCCGTCATGGTCGTCAAAGTCATATTTGGCCACGTCTGGCATAATTCGACATGTTATTCTTCACAGTCCCGTCAGGCACTATGGAAATGTGACACCATACTGACCGTTGCAATCATCATCATCATCGTCGTCGTCATCACGATCATCCCCATCATCATACTTCACATCGGCAGAATCAAGCCTCGTGGTCACCGTCATCATCATCATCACCACCATCATCAGCAGCAGCAACAGAGATCTCTATATCCTCACAAGTATCTAGGCATGGAACGTCAACTTGCTCTCGAGCAAACGGCCGAATGAATGCTGCTGGTCAAGGTTGGGCTGACATGCTAATCAACACACGCTCCCGGGTTTAGAGTTTAGGGTTAAGGGTGCTGCATCAGCATCAGCATCAGCATCAAATTCATCAATCACCGTCATAAATGTTCGCCACGCAGACTATATCCACAACACTGCCATCGTGATATTCACGCTACCTTGTTCTCGCTCGCCAGGTAACGACAAATACGTAAGTGCACACCTAGAGATGCATAAGCCAGCTTCTTACTCCCACAATGTGAATGTCTACATGCGTGCATCCTCTGCTCAAAACGGTTTGAATGAGAGTGGCAGAGGGGCCTTAGCGAGCACATCAACACAGAATATGGGGGCCTGAACAACTACCCATCATATTTCGGTGCTCTTTGCTGTAGCCGTAGTATGGCATTTCATAAAAACCCTATTCTAATTACTAAGGCCCCTGTAGTAGAAGCATCCTCCACCTCGATGATATCCTCTAGATCTTCGGTTCTTTTTGTGCCGGAAAGGGAAAGCTTATGAAGCCATCTTAGTAACGTAGGGGCTACAGCAATCTGAACAGGGTGTGGGACTCTTTTACGGTGCAGCTAGACTGTGGAACGCTAAGAAAAAAGTGTTGGTAAATGTTCAAATTTATGATTACATTGCGCTCCCTAGTGC